TAGTTAGTTAGTTAGTTGTTAGTTATAAAAGTTAAAAAAACTGTTCACAAGTTGGATGTCAATAAACCTGAGTCAGGCCCATGAAACTGAAATTAAAATAATTCTTTTTTTTTTGCTCCTGACTTATTTTTTTTTCTATTTCTCCGACTGTATTTGTTATTTAACACTTTTCTTCTTCTTGATTCTTCATTTGACCCCTGACACCTCACCTCTCAGCTCCTATGAGCAGTACGGCACCAATTGTCCTGTCAAAACAAACTTTTCTGTAATCTTTTTGATTCGACTTTTTCTCTCCTCCTCTCTCCTGCTCCTTGCATCCTCCCTCCTTTTCTCTCCCCCTCCCCCCCTCTCCCTCGTGTCTCTCCTGCTCCCTCTGACCCACAGGGTCGTGTTTTGCTGAAATCCAATCCCATCTCTTTTTCAAACCTGCTGTTCCATTTCACTTGCATTTTGTCACACTGCAGTGCACACCTTCATTTCGAGTCCTTTCGGTGTACACACGCGCACGCGCACGCACACACTCACATAGTTTTACACTTGAAGAATTAAAGTAAAAAAAAAGAAAAAGAAAAAAATGAAACAAGCCAAAAAACAATTAACTAATTAAGCTGTCAGTCAAACTGGAAGCTCCTTTCTGGATTCATACTTTAAAAAAAAAACACCCATCCACACCTGGCTCCTTCATCTCCGTGTTCATCCATCACAGCTTCACTGACTGTGGTCAGTCACAGCCCACAACCAATCACACAGAGGTGAGGGTCGATCCGAGTGTTTGCTAATGGCGCCGTGTGTGTGTGTGTGTGTGTGTGTGCCCTGTATGAGATGGAAGGAAAAACAACAAGCAGCATTTTCTGTGAGGAGTGACACGGAGGTGTTTCATACCTGTGGTGCATGTTTGGTGTGAAACGAGATGTGCAGAAAAGATGAGTATTGGACATGTGTCACAGTGAGGAATAATACTGTGTAAAAGTTGTAGACAGGTGTGTACATTTATTATATCCCCTTGTTGTTGTTTTTTTTTGCAGACTTTTTTTTTATTATTAAATGTCGTTTGTGTCATTTCACTAGGGGGCGACGATGACGCTAAATAAAAAAAAAGGATCAAATATCAGTATAAAATCCTGATATTTTACAAAACGTACTTTTTGGTTTGAACCTAAAAAATACTGTATAAGACAATAATGCGAATTAGTACAATTAATGAATGAACAAAACAAAACAATTGAAAATTAATCTAAGTTGCTGGAGGGTTTTGGTGAGTCCGCGGGCTGTGTGACGCCCCTCTGGAAGTTTGTTGCTCAGGGAAAATGTAGAATCTCAAGAAGATTTAAAATGCAGAGAGAATGGACATTTTTGAAAAAAAAAAGAAGCAAATAAAAGACTGTGCTTCACTCTGCAGGGCAGGAAGATTAGCATGGAAGGAGGGTTTACCGCTGGGAACAGTTCCAGGGAAGGGACTGAAAGCCACATTTTGAATGTTTATTTTTAGATTTGGATGCGAAGTGTCCTCAGAAGGCTCAGGACGGTTGATGCAAATTGTACTGTAGAGAACTGGCTTCAGGTTATTTAGATTTGCTTAAAGAAACAACTCTCTGGGGGGTTATCTGTCACGTCGCAGAGACATTTTGTTTTCGTGCTTTAATCGGTTTTTTTTTAAAATGTAGATATTAAAAATATGAGGAATGAAGGAAAAATGTTAGAAAAACAATTGTAAATCGAAATTCAAATGTAAACAAATGAAACAAACACACACATATATATATATACATATATACTTGGAATGTAAACGTCTGAAAGAGGATTGATTTGATGATTGACTGTGTGACACGGACTTTTTAATTTGAATAAATAACATAACCTGAAATACAGTGGTGTAACAAAACAACTTTGGTTCAACATTTCATTTTCATGACTATTAAAGTGAATGTACAGTTCTCTTCCTAATATTTAATTTGATCCTTTTTTCACCATCGGGTCCTTTATTTACTTTGTCAGTGTGTCTGTCTGTGTCTGTCTGTGTGTGTCTTTCTCTGACTAACTTGCAATCTGCGGCCTCACTGACGCGTCTTGACGTGTTTCTCACTGCTGTTTGAGGAAGAGGGCAGCTCCTGCCTGTATCCACTGATTGGGCTGTGGTCCACAGGGCAGACAGATGTGTGTGACCACCTTCAGTCTCTCTGAGCTGCTGTACAGAGGCAGCCAGATCGTCTCCTCTGAGGACGCCAGGTCTGCGGCGGAGTGCTGGGATTGTACAAGGTTGAAAAAAAAAAGAAAAAACACAAGTTAATTATGATCACATACTGAGTTTGTTTACCGCGTGCTGTAAGTGCTGTGAGTAATTGTTCATATTTAACTGCGACCGCACGAGCAGTTTATCACTACTACAGTACAGGGAAATACAGCCATGTAATGGCAAGCTTGGATGAGTACTACATTGTGCTACTTTGTTGGATTGGACGATTGGACAAACCTGATTGTAGGAACATTAAAAAAAAACATACAGGATTGTGCACACAAACACATACCTTTGGAACCCAGGCCATGTGACACTGCGGCACGGCCGACACGCTGGGGGAGTTGTGTTGATTCTCACAAAGATGGACGCCATCGAAGCTGCATCCCTCCAACTGCAGACCGCCGACCTTTGCGACGGAAAGGGTTCACGGTTCACAGACGACCAGAGGAGTTTAAAGAGGAGGGAAAAGAAAAAGCGGCGACGATCGTACAGTAAATAAAAACAAAAACATCATTTAGGCGAGCAAATTCTGTCCTGTGACAGAAGAGAAAACTCTGGGCCAGACACAAGCACTTCCAAAAATCCCCATAATCTGAGAGGGAAAATTGTCAAGTGAGGAGTGAATGAGGAGCAGATCCAGAAAAAGCTGCAGAATGTGTGTGTGTGTGTGTGTGTGTGTGTGTGCTCCACAACAATTATGGCCTTCTTTCCCACTGTCAGATGTCTGAGTCTTTCCCCCTCTCCCTCTCTGCAGCTGCAGTCTCTCTCTGAGCTGCCACAGTTTCTCCCTCTCTCTGTCGGTGACACTGAGCACATGTTGTTGGCCTGACCAACATCAATAACCAAAAATAAACACAGACCATAGGTTTTTTTTTTTTTTTTACATCGAACATAAGTCGGGCCTAAAAGTGGAAACAAGTGAAACATCTGCTCGCAGTGCATCAAAACCAACAGGGGAGGAAGAGAATATTGCTGACAAAGAAGAAAATCTGCAGCTACGTTACATCACATCTGCATTTTTAAAGTTTTTTTCCAAATTACTGACTAGAAATAAATATTGGGGCCAACCTAAATATGAAGTCTAATATTGAAATTTAAAGATCAAGTCTACTAAAATCCAGTACATAGAATTGTCATGTTAATGCTTACTAAAATCCAGTACATAGAATTGTCACGTTAATATGTTTAATATGTTAATTTGTATAAACATATTAAACTGTATTTTTAAACTCTTAAATGGACTCTTAGGACAGGTTTATAATATATAATATGAATCATTAATAAAACAAGTGCATAATTCACATATACAAAGACATGTACAGCAGTTTCAAAATGATGACGCCGGGACTAATTCTAAGTTTCGCTTCAGTCTGTTGACCCCTGTGTGAACCCCAGGGATCACGTCTGCAGGAAACACTTTAAATTAAACTCGTTTTGTTCTACACAACTGTGTTGTTTTTGCCTCACCTTATAGTCACAGATTGCCCCATAAACAAAAACTCATCAACAAACCGGCTCTGATTGGCTGCAGTCCCCATTTGTTTATCCAGTTTAGAAATCAATGCCGATTGGACTCCGCAAAAGATTTTTTTTTTTCAAATCATTTTTATAAGTTATAATTTGAATTAACATTACCCTTTGTTACAATCATTTTTAAATATTTTTTCTCCTTAGAAAAATAATAATGGTCATTATCTTCCTATGTTGCGGCCTATATGTTGCCTATATGTTGATACTGTATGCGAGTGAGTATGTTTGTGTATGTTACTAGCATGTAGATGTGGTAAAGCCATGGTTAAACCATCTGTCCACCAGGAAAGAAACTAGTATTTCCCAGGCTGTAGTAAATGGGGCACCAGTTTTTAGTGTGACTTTGTGTTTCAGAAACTGCTGATTAGCTTGCGCTTCACTGGCGCAGACCATCTCTGGGGTTTTAGAGAGAAAGAGGAAAATGTCTTTTCGTCTGGCGAGAGGCAGTTTTCTTAAAAAAAAAAAAAAAAAAAAAAAAAAAAACCCCAGACCTTGCGTTGCCAGAGGTCAGAGGATAACAGCCAGATTGATGGAAGATGAAGGAACAGCCAAACTAACTCACTCACGACACATGTAATAGAAAAAAGGAATCAACATCAGCAGAAGTAGAAATCTCCACGCGGTCTTGACGTACTGAAGCAGCGCCGGAACTAATGTTTTTGCACGTGTGTTTTGTCTGTAGTGCTGTGATTGGCTGTTGAGCAGTTTGAATTTGTGAGCTACTCTGTCAAAGGTCAAAGGGTAGTCATGTGATTAGTCTTTGGGCGGTGTTGTCAATGACCTTTAATATTGCTTTGGATGATCTGTCAAAGGTCAAAGGGTAGTCATGTGATTAGTCTGGTGTTGTCGATGACCTTTAATCTTGCTTTGGATGGCGTCGTTTTATGTTTAAATTTTTATTTTGTATCATTGACTCAAAGCAAAGGAAATTATTTTCCCCGCCTTTATTTTGAAAACAACAGACGGGAATTTTGTTTTAAAAGAACCGGAACGGGAAGCAAGAGGGGAGTCCGAACGTAAGTTACGTTTTCAGCGATTGTTGACGTATTTGTGTTATAATAAGACCGACAGCATTTCTGTTTTAATACCTGGCTGTGTTTTCAGTTTTGGTAGGTTTTACAGCGTCTAAAGTCTGTGTTAGTTTGTCATAGTTGTCAAGGTTGCCCTATCGATTGGGGCGACTCCATTTTGTGTTTATATAATCGTAACATTTTTGTGTTTGGTGCAACCGTAATAAGGTAAGATAAAAAACACAACAAGGTTGTTCTAATGTGTAAGGAGGGAAGTAATATCTTTTTTTTTATCTGTGTTTTTCTGTTTCACTTTTTTTTTAAAAAAAGCTCTTATGGTGTGTTCAAAGTGTAAACGTTTTCTTGGAAAATAAACACTGAGAACCATCAGTTTGGAGTTGGACCAATCGTTCAGTTCGGAGTGCTAGGTGTTACTGCCTTAGCTTTTTTATTTCTCTGCGTCATCATCATCGGTCCATTAGATTTAGACCAACACTTAAAGGTGAATTTAACCAATAAAACCTAACTTACCACCACTTTATTTCTCTATAGTTAATAATAAAATCCGATATTTTCAACCTGACCAAATTGCCCTGGAGAAATGTAACCTTTGTATGCTTCACCTCATGGAAGGGGATGGGGCCTTACATATTTGTAGGGAAGCTGCAGTACGGCAAATTAAAAAAAAAAAAAAAAAAAAGTTTATTATTTGTTCCACACTGGGGAAACTGATTTCTGCTTTAATTTAATTTGTTCAAGGAGAAAATTAGTTCTGTAGAAAGGAGTGTTTTAAATGAAGTTCAGTGGAATTTTAGAGAACAAAAAGTGTGGGAAGACCTGAACAGGAGGGGGTGACAGCTACGTATAATAAAAATGCTACAGAACATGGTTAATGTGTGTTTATGGTCAGTCTACCTTGACTTGTACTTTGGCCTGTGGTATTGGACTTCTCCATGTTGTGACAAACACCAAACTGTCCATAGAACACGCCATGGATCTAAAAAGGAGAAATTGTCACAATTAAAAACTCCAATCGTTTTGTTCAGTCAAAGACCGACACAGCGAAGGTTTGAACGTTACCTCGCAGTTTCCTGTCTTAAGGCGTTGAGGAAGGTGTCGGGGTGGAAGAGCTCGGACAGATCTAAGGTGTCGGACAGAAGGGCCTGTCTGCTGCCGCGCTCCACCCAACTCTGTTAGAAGACACGGGCAAGGAAGGTCAGATGTAGACGTTGGTGTTTACAAATTGCAAGGGAAGATATAAATGTGTGTAGGAATATTAAAATAGAATGTAGAATGTAAACGTCCTCCTCAACAGCAACTTGGATTCAGGACATTGTGGTGTCAGCAGATTTATAACTAACAAAGTTAAAAAAAAAGGTTTGATATTGAGGAACTTTTGCACAGACACATCGCTCATTATTCGTTCTTGTGCAGTCATCAAGGTTCCCTATAATGGCTAAAAACACTGCAGGACTTTTTCAGGACATTTTTTTAGCCACTGAAGCAAGACAGACAAGTTATCACGTCAAACGCTTAATTACTTAGATCCTCGTATTTCTGATCTTTTCTAGAGCTTGATGTTGTATTATTCATCCACAGAGGACAGACCTGAGAGAGAGAGATCTGAAAATGGCACCTAATCTTACAATAAAGTCAAATGACAACAGGAAACTGAACACATGCGCCGGGGTGACGTGCAAATATAAGAGGCCGGTTGCATCACACGGGGTGTTTTTGTCTCATTTCTATTTTCATGACTTAGTGAATTTGTCGTTAATTCTTTACATTAGAGTCATCACGTACCAAATACACACACAGATAAAATGGTCAATAAGTTAATAAAAAAAAAAATGCTGTCAAGTATGAGCAGCACTTGTACAGTGTTTCCAAGGTCGTCCTGTGCATGTCTGGCTGCACAGCATCTCCACACTCAGCAGCAGCAGCAGCAGCAGCAGCAGCAGCTCTGTACGACTCCGCCTTTATCAGGCTGATTAGCTCACAAGACGCAGACACACTGCTAACAGAGATATCAGTCAGTGGTGATGGGCAGAATCCGACAGTTAAGGACACACATGAGGACGGATGACGTGCAGGTGGACACACTTGCCGGATTCGCCAGACAGAAGAAAGGCACACACAGAGAGAGAGAGGCAGACACGGAGGCAGACAGCACGGCTCACTCCGACAAATAATGAAATCCATCATATTCACGTAGAAATAAATAATATCCGAATGTGTGTGTGTGTGTGTGTGTGTTGGTATTAGGGTGTGCCAGAGGATATTGAGGGAGGGGCACCGCCCCAAGGGGGCAGAGTACCGTACTTTCAGCCACAACCTTTATTTCTTGGCGGGGACCGGAGGCTGCTACATTTCCAAAAACCTCACGGTTAAATTAATTTTTTGCTTTCTTTCTTTCTTTCTTTCTTACTATTTTGGCTACAGCTTCAGTGACCACAACTTGCGCGACATTCTCTCGTAAATAATTCATAATCTGAGTGGCAGTTTCAAAGTACTCTAGTCACAAGACTCTTAAATCTGAGCAGAGCTCTCGGGTAAGAAAAGAATGGTGTGGCTGTTTGAGGTGATAGTAAATATTCCGCCGTACGATTTTACATCCAGATGCGGAGGAATGTTGACTGTGAAATATAAACGCACAATGGATACACAGTACAAAAGCCGGTCTGAAACTTCTTGGACGTAACGTACTGTGTATCCAAGGACATCACATTAATACATTTCCCGAAGGGAACTCCAGAGGGATTTAATAAAGTGCTATCAATCTATCTATCTATCGATCTATCTATTAATCCAGCGCCTTGGACTGCATGTACCTGTATGGCCAGGGCCCGTGTCACCACAGCTCTCAGATACTGCATGGGCTCCTCGGGTCCTTCCCATTTGTTCTGCCACTTCAGAGGACACTGTGGGGGAAGCGGACACATACAAGAATATAAGGGGAACCCAAAAATCTGAACCATGAGATCCCTTCCAGTGACGCTCCCCGTCATCTTCCTGTAAAGCTCTCATCAACAGTTGGCAATTCATTTGAGGAGGAAACAGGAAGATTTTTTCAAGATGTAACATTTTCCTGTGAAAATATTTTGTGGATGTAAAAATATTTTTCTAACCCCTCAATGCTCCGGTTTGGCGGTGAACATGTTTTAATGAGCAGAATTGATCGTATAACTTCATTCGACAAATATAACTTAATTAACCGTTTTGTCTGAGAGCAGCTGTGGGAATAAATCATTTAACAGAAGCAATCAGCACTGATGTGGTAATTACAACAACTGAAGACATGGACACTGTATCGGGCCCACTGTCTTCATATGATTTAGTCGCTGAAATAAATGAATGTATGTGTATTCATCGCCTGCACAGCTGCACCTCTGCTGCCTGGTCATTTTCCTGCTTTCTTTTTTTTGTCATGTCTTAAAGAGAATATATTATGCTAATGTTATGCAAATGATTATTCCTTATTCCTTGGTGATGAAATGTTAGTTAATGTTAATGCTGTGTTAAAAAAAGAAAACCCAAACCCGCATATAGAGTAGAAGAGGCAGTTTACGCAACAACTATTTTGTGGACGAAACACTTAATCCTTGTGTTGTGTGGGGTTTCAAATTGAATTTTTATACTTGTAAATATGACACGTTATCGTACCATTCGAACAATTACTTTCAGAAAGTAGGGGACTTTTGAAAAGGGCTTGGGACTGACGTTAGACTCAACAACTGAAGACATGGACACTGTATCAGACCCACTGTCTTCATATGATTTAGTCACTGAAATAAATGAATGAATGAATGTATTCATCGCCTGCACAGCTGCACTTCTGCACTTCTGCTGCCTGGTCATTTTCCTGCTTCTGGTCATTTTCCTGCTTTCTTTTTTTTGTCATGTCTTAAAGAGAATATATTATGCTAATGTTATGCAAATGATTATTCCTTATTCCTTGGTGATGAAATGTTAGTTAATGTTAATGCTGTGTTAAAAAAAGAAAACCCAAACCCGCATATAGAGTAGAAGAGGCAGATTACGCAACAACTATTTTGTTGACGAAACACTTAATCCTTGTGTTGTGTGGGGTTTCAAATTTTATTGTTATACTTGTAAATATGATACGTTATCGTACCATTCGAAGAGTCACTTTCAGAAAGTAGGGGACTTTTGGAAAGGGCTTGGGACTGACGTTAGACCTAAAGCGCAAGACAGGGTGGGGTCTCCTTTAGTTCACCCCAAATGGGGACGACATTTAGGATGATGATATCAGGGTTAAGGAGTAAGCTGACACTTCCCTTTTTCGCATATAATTGACATAATATGTACTCTTTACCATAGAGTGACTCTTCTCTTATAATGATGTGTGAAATAACTGTGTGAGGTTATTTTGCGTTGTCTCCAGCACTGGGCATAATAGTCATCATTTACCGTGAATTGCAGACAATGACGCGTCCAACACATTTATCGCTGTTGTCAAATTTACCGCTTAAGGATAAAACCAGTGTGTGCAACACCAATACCGCAGCAGATTCACACTCGTCGGACGCTAATTAGAGCCGAGGCCGACAGCGTTGACGCGCTGCCATGATTTGACAGTTGTGAAAGTCAGGATTTAAAAAAAAAAAAAAATCAATTAAAATTGTGGCTGATTAATTTGACTTTGTTATTTTCTTCTTCGCAGGAAGCCGATGAGGGTTTGTCATCTTAGTGACAGTGATGAAAAACCTCACTTTCTCCTCAACCGCATCACTGTCAAACCGCACGGCCAAAGCATTCATAAATAATTCTTATTAATTTTGCTATCATGTACACTGTGGTTTTAGTCTCCGCAATCAATGGATGTCTTAACTGAAAGTTTCCACATTGTGATTAGTAAAAAAAAAAAAAAAAAAAGCCCATCTCAGTTAAAACTTTACAAAGTTGAAGTGCCCTTTCGAATATGTGCCCGTGGCCCCCGGTCATCACTGAAATACTTGTGTTTTGACTGTGCAGAGCACGGCCAGAACGCTGGATGCTAGAGTGAGGTCTTAGCAGTGATCAAAGAAAGAAGCTTCGCTCCCTACCTGAGGTCGGGGAACGTGTTCTATCAGTCGAATTTGAAACAGGAAAAAAAAACATGCATTTTTAAAGGCAGGGCTAAGAGCTTATGTGTGTTATATATCTGGCACTTCTGCAGCTCGGCCATAATGCACTACAAGGTGTCCTTGTTCACCCCCAGTCACAACAGATGGACACTTAAAGTAGAAATATGGACATATTATACATTTTTAAATCTCCTGGCTGACGTCGGTCTCCCCGGTTCTCCCATGTCCCTTGTCTTTGACCAGAGCTTTCAATGCTCATAATGACACGTTGTCTTTAAGTATTAGTCATACAAAAATACATTTGTTACTGTAAAATATGAATATCGATGTTACAGTTAACAGCATATAAATAAACCTATTTTGGCGTTTAATAGTTTCTTACCTCCTGATTGAGCAGAGCACTGGCCAATTTTTGGACTTCAGGAGTGAGCAGCTGTGTCCCTCTGATGACTTTACTCAGAGCAGCCAAGGATTGGTGGATGTTCTGCAGTAACAGGTGAGTATATTCCGAACACGTGAGTTGAGGATTAAGGGTATTTCATCTGATAACAAAGGAACGCGTCATGACATGAAGCATCGTGTGAACGAAGGTGTCGAAGCTGAGGTTTTCAACCGGACGCGTCGGTGTCTTGTATTCTTCTGGTTTTTCCTCCAACTGCGTTACTGCATGGCTGCGTTATCACCGCAGCAAGGGCAATCGTTCTCAGTAATGCACTTACCTGCACCAAACGTACGGCATTGAACTGTTCCAGAGCAATGAAGGATAAAACTGGCGACCCGTGGCCTTCTGCAGGAGGGGCCACCTTCTGATGGATCAGCGAGGAGCCCTGACAGATCAACAGCACACAGACAAAAGTGTTATTAGTTCAACATGTGAGGGAGCCGGTGTCTGTCGAATGACAACGATGAGTTGTGGATAAATTAGGATTAAACATGTATCGTAATCAGCCAAGATTAATGGGGATTAAAAGACA